TCCACGTGTGAATGCTCCACCACGCGCAAATGCTCCTCCACGTGTAAGCATACCATTACCACGTGTATGCACACCATTTTTGTAACGGCACGTGTAAATGTACCAAAAACCACGTTCAAATATGCTTTTCCCTAAGTTTACTGTTAGGCGGCAGCATCGACCGCAGGCGAATGCGACCGATTGCTTGTTTGCGCCGGTCCGAGCCCGGTCTAAGGCCAATCCTGCCGTGGTTGGCGGTGTCTGTCTTGCGCCGGTCGAAGTTTCATGGCTTGCCGCGTTGGCGAGAGTCATGCGGCAGTCGGTGGGTATGTCTTCGCGGCCGGTAGCCGTGTTGTTCATGTTGCAGGACCCATGCCATCGACTACAACTCGACAGGACCCGCGCCATTGTCTGCTGCATTACCAAGGTCAATAGCGCGGGTCCTATCGAGATGGCAGATGCCTATTATGTCTGTATATCACCGTACTCCGTTTACTTGTTCACGAGAAACTACAGTTGATGCCATTCCTGGTGATAAAGGATAACTTTGCACATATGCAGGCATGTTGCGCATCATTGCGTGCCATTCCTGGAGATAAGCATACCTCATAGTCAAAATTAACGCGGGTTTCCACTCAAGCTGGTCGAATGATGGTGAATTTACTGGCTGGAGTTGAGCTTTTTGCGGTGCGAATTATGCTGAATTATCAGTCCATTACAATACTGGAGGTGGTTATCCGAACACTATGCGGATATTGATGTGTCGATTTACTGGAATGCGGTGTAGATGCTCTTACCCGGTACAAGGTTGAATAAATACCTGGTGTTTTAGCTAATTCACTGGGGTTTTATGAATGTCAAATAACTCTGAGCAAAAATAATCACATGTGCTGCTGAAGTGACCAAAACACCTTGGCTGTTATTCCATCGCGTAGTACATGCAGGTAGCATGCACTGCGCGATGGAACGAGAAGATGGCGTGGTTTTCTACGATGTGGCACCATACGTACAGTACATCGCTGTACGGTAGAACCCCGGACCCCGGCGCTTGTCCTCGTCATTCATTTGTAATATCAAAAGTTGTTCATGATGACCAGTGAATTGTGCAATTTGGTCCCGAGAATAGCAGATATACCGGTAACTTCGATTGCACTTTTCAAATGTGCAAAAGCGAGGGAGTTGCATAAATGACCTCCCTATAATTACATTCTGTAACGAAACGTGATCCTAAATCACGGCACGGATTATCTAAAGCACTGGGGTCGATGTAACAAACACCCAGGTTTATGGTGTGAATAGCCAAAACGAGTGAAAAGCACAATAGTACTTTTTTAGGTAAAAAAAAGGAGGTAAATCGATTTTGATTGGCTCATGCTATTTCTGCAAACTCCTTGGAACTACTCCTAACAGTAAACTTCCAAAATTCGCGGGGTATTGAATCATGCTGGAGTTTTGATTTGGATTAGCCAATAGCGTCGGTTCGTGATTCGATTCGGCGGCAATATCGATTCGACGGGGTCTGGAGATTGTACCGAATCCACAATACTTCCGATGTACTACGTAGTATTGTCCTTTTACCCAAAATTTGAACTTTTGTGTTGATTCGCCAAATCTATCGATCGATTCATTGTACTGACGTGTGTATCTATCCAGTGTGACACTAATTTCATTCGCACACTAATTCAATGTTGAATCGGTTAAAGAGTGGATATGATTGGCCACTTGATTAGTGTTCTGGTTTTTGATTGGTCGTATATCGATCATTCGTTCGATTGAGCACCCACTCCAATTTCGAATCGACGTGCACGTTAAGAGAAACAATATATACCACACGAACGCAATTGATTGGTCCGGTTGTTTGGCGCTTGTTTCAGGTCAAAATAATCAACACTGGCTGAGTTATGCCGCGAAAATTGAATTTGAGGTGCGACAACCGGATAGGACACCTGAGTTTCAAGTCCAGTCTGAGCTGCTTCCAGGCAATCCTTGCACGGCTAAGTAGTAAACGTCAATAAAGCACCATTCGACCTACCTTGACTTGCCTTTCCAAGTACAACTGTTATAGGAAGAGCCGCCCAACTCACCGAGTACGAGCAAGGTAGTGCCTTAGCCTTTTCGAAGGCTGGATTATCGATTAAACGCATCGCCGTCACCCTTGACCGCTTCAGAAACGTCGTAGAAGGCTTTCTACGGTCACACGAGACCTATGGGACCCACTACGTAAGTCCAAAGTCCACAAAAGTGTCTGAACGGGCACGCCGTCAAATCATCAAGCACGCCTCGACGATCGGATGCTCAGCGAAGCAGCTCAAAGCGTACCTGCCGTTAGAAGTGTCGCTCCGCACATACCAACGCATCTAGAATCAAGCCGCTTTCCTACAATACACCAAGCGTCAGCATGCACCGAAGCTTCAACAACGCCACAAGGACGCAAGACTCAAGTACGCCGAAGACAACCTAACCAATCCAATTGACTGGGATGTCGTGGTGTGGTCAGACGAAAAGAAGTTCAACCTCGACGGTGCAGACGGTTTCCAGTACTACTGGCACGACCTTCGCCACGTAAATGACCAGTTTTTCACCCGGCACAGTGGCGGTGGCAGTTGCATGATTTGGGCCGCATTTTTAAGTCACGGGAAGTCGGAAATCGCCTTTCGTGGAGGGCTCACAGACAGGTGACAAGTACGTTGACACGTTGTCGAACTACCTGTTCCCATTTGGTCATGAGATGTATGGCGGAAGTTTTGTATTTATGCGAGACAACGCACATTCATTGCTCCAAGGTGGTTATGGAGTTTTTGGACGAGTAATATATTGTCATTTTTGGTCATCCTGCGTTGTCGCCTGATTTAAACCCTATCGAAAACATTTGGGGGGTGCTGGCTCGCCAAGTTTACCTAAATGGTAAGCAATTTGACTCTTTGGCTGAGCTAAAGGTCGCCATCAAGCGTGAGAGGGAGAAAATTTCCCAAAACTACTTGCAGGAGCTGATCAGGTCGATGCCAAAGCGCTGTGTGCATGTTATCCAAGCCAAAGGAGGCAAAAAAAAAATTAAATACACAATTTGATGCTTTGAGGACAAATTTCGTTGTTAACTTTTTGGGTGTCCTATCCAAATGTCGCACCTCAAATTCCTGTTTAATGTCATAATTTGCTCAGTATTTATTAGATGGACTACATCTTGTGCCAAACGATCTAGCTTTAGCTGTCACTTGAATTTATCCGCCGTGTGGCAGCAACAAATCACAAATTCCACCGCCTCATTGATAAAACAGGGGTGTCCTATCCCACTGCACTTACAATCAATCAAATGAGCAGCGCCAAATCGACAGGCATTGATCGACCAATCAAAACCCAGAAAGCTAATGAGCAGCGCCAAATCGACAGGCATCGATCGACCAATCAAAACCCAGAAAGCTAATCAAGTAGCCAATCAAATCCACTCTTCGACCAATCCAACGTCGGATATTCGTGTGTGATTTTTATCAATGTGAAACTGGTCAATTATCTTTGACCAATGAACCAGCCAAATCAGAAGCTTGGCATATACTACAACGTAGTAACTACATACAGTACAGTATGTAGTTCTGCAGTACAGTGAAGTCGAGAAATACTCGCACCAGACGTTTTTGGCTCATATATGAGTTTGTATGCAGATCGAATCTGACATTACATCTTTATTTTTTTGTTGGTGACATGATTGAAGCAATGACGTCATATTTTGGTCGCTCTGGTTGGCGCAACGAAGTATAAAATAGGCAGTAAATTATCTCACAATCACTAAATTTAGTATTACTAATCATTTCTAGGAGTACTAACAGTGTAAAACAAGTTGTGGTGCGTCCCAAGAAATGTCCCGACAAGTGCCCCAACAAATGTCCCGACAAGTCATTAAAAATACAATAGTACAAACGGATGAGTTTCAAATGTATTACAATTCAAATATGCGAGGGAGGGCCTTTTCAAACGAGCTTCTGAATGTCGAGGCACTGATTGAATCCCAAGCGGCGATGGTTCGTTCAACCATTTTCAGGCGCTTTTCCGACGCCGTCACCACCGGCGTTTCCAACAACCATGTGGAGCGCAGTTTCGCTTTCAATGGTCCCATCACACCAACATCCAATGGTTGACAATGACTGGTTGCATTCGGTGGCAGCGGCTGCAAGAAGCCAAACAACTCTTCATCCACAGTTTTGTACGACATCGCAGATACGTGCGATGCTAGGTTGTCGACAAGAACCACAGACGGACCAATCAGCTCGAACTTCAACAGCTCTTGCAGGTACAGTTGTAGAACACCCACACGCTTTCATCCATCCAAGCCTTCTCTTGAACAGCATAGACGTGGCCTTCTGGAAACGTTGGTAGCTCGTCGCTTTCGATGGATCCACCACGAGTTCCCCGCAGGATGAAAAGTATTGGAAGTTTCGTCCCTAAAATAGACCACCAGATGAGCAAAATGATCAGTCTTTCATACCGTCAGAACAAATCGACATGACTGCTGTATTCAAATTCACTCTACGCCAGAACATTTCGTAGTACTACCGGTACGTAGTACTTGTACTTCGAAGTATACTAGTATGGTACTGTACTACGTAGTAGTAAGTCAAACAGCGACGCAAATGGATGTTCCTGCGAGGCGGAGCTAACTGCTTTCAAGCCAACGCGTCAAAGACCACATCGTTACTGAGTTTAGATGTGCCAATTCGTCTTAGCATAGTTGCAAGGTTTCTACTGGAGCCTTTCCTACTTCCAGTGGACCCCAGGAGTCCGAACAACGTACGCTGGTCTCTCACGAGGCTCTGAACAAAGCCCAGGCCCGGTTTCAGGAAAGTGAAACCCGAGGGTCTCAACTCCAAGAACAACTCCTATAAGTTCACACTCGGTACGAACATGAGCTACAAGAGGAGCAGACCCTACGCGAGGAAATGGAAAGGGGTGTCCAAGAACAACTACTGGCGCTAACGTTGGATCGTGACTCGCAGGAACGGCGTGTAGTAACTCAAGAAAGAGAGGAGCTCATGAAGTCGCGGGAAGAACACGAAGCAATCCTACACAAGGTGTCCGACGCTCAGACACAATTGGGGCTAAACACGACCCTCCTGCGGGAAGAAGAGAAAACCCTCCTCAGGGAAAGGGAAGCTTTCGCTCAGGAAGTCAACAAGTCTTACTCGAACCTCCGTCGGCAACAGTCCTCCTTACAAGTGGATCAGCAAACGTTGGCCTTGCAACTTCAGGAAGGCCGACCCAGATCAGGTTCGGTCGGGACTCCCTATGCGACACCCGCCTCGTCCCGGAAAGCCCCCCCTTCGAAGTGGAGTCATTCGACTTTCATGACGTCATCAGTACTCCAGGCCCCCTACTCGATGGCGGGTACACCTCAACGGACAATGGACCCTATCCCAATGTTTATGCAACAAACCGAGATCGCTACGGAAACCATGTCGATGCCGGTGCCGGCAGGTGTCTACGACCGTGCTGTGACTTCTCAAAAGCCGTTCATGCCCGAAAGACCAAAGCAACGAGAACCTCCTGAGTACATACCCCAGGACTCGTACGGGATGCGTGGACACAGTAAACCCAGCACACCTTACTTCACACCGGCCCACGGAGACCGCGGCGGTGTATTCGGTGGAGGATCCAGCAACCCTCCCGGTCCTCCTTCGTCATACCCAGCTCCAGGGGGGCCCCGGGGGGCACAATCCTTTCGAACGCACTGGAGGCCGAGGAGATCCCCCCGGACCTCCCGGGGGAGGTGGCGGCGATGACCATGGGGTGGAGGCGCACCCAGGTTTCCATACGTGCCCCGGCACGATGACCATGGGGACCGTCCTTCCCGTTCCGCTTATGCTGACGCACAAAAATACGCACCCAAACTGAAACGAGTGGACAGCGCCATCCCTTTGGAACACTTCCTGAAGAAGTTCGACGTGTTACAAATGGACTACGGGATCACGGACGCTCAACTGGTGGGAATCTTCGACGACCGCCTCAACGAATCCAGTATCCCTCGTTTTGCCGACTGGTGGGCCAGACGAGTCCGGGATCATGCCGAACAGTCCTGGGCTGAGTCCCGGGAGGCTTTCAGGCAAGAATTCATCATGAAAACGAAGACGGAGCGAATGGCGACCATTACCGCGGACTCGTACCGCCGAACTGGGGAGACGGTTAACAAATACGCCTGCCGCATCGGCGACAACATTCGAAACGCGAATTTCCCGCCCGAAAGTGCCGTGTTCATTTTGCTCAATGAATGTGAAGACCCCATCATGGCCAGCTGCCTCCGGGGCCCCCGACACTCCCGACAACCATCGAAGCGAGTCTGAAATACTTGAAAGAGAAGGACGTCAACCTCGAGAAACCATTTGAAGGCAACCCCAAGACAGCCATGATACTGACAAAAATAAACTGACACTTACCACGACTGTGAGCAGCAGCCCCGGGACCAGTAAACCCAGGGTTACGCCCACAGCCACAACCAAGACTATGATGCCGCCATTACGCGGGACTTCGGCAGCTCCCAAAACCCGTGAAGGGAGAAACGAAGACCCGGACGGGTGTGCTTCTGAAACAAGACTACAAGACCAGGAGTGCCTCATGACCAGAGGAGATCCAAACTCCGTGGACGACATGACTACTAAGACCGGACGAGACGAGTCCCCTACCAACTATGACGACCAAGAAGTATCCAAATCGAATACCTGACGGATGAAGCACACAATACTGCAGGGCTCCCGCTGGACGTGACCCTGCGGACAAGTTTAACACAACAACCAAATGAAACTTACACCAACACCGAATCACCGCGCTTGCAAGCGGTTCACCCAGCAAGCTTTAAAGACGCTACGATCCCCTCGCCCCTTACGGACGCGAAGGCTGACACACGGACTCCTGGTCTAAAGGCCGCCGTGCGCTACCAGAAAACAGCCACTTCGCAGGCCACGACTACTGCAACTACCCCTGGGATTCAGATCTTCAAAAACCGGAGGTCAAAGAAGCTTAGACCTCCCGCCACGCCCGGACCGCGTTCGGCAACGTCAGGGGCGCCCGCGAACCTGGCAACAACTCCTGGTTACGAAACTGGACCTTCTCCCGGGGTGACTCCCGTCTTCACGGAAGCCCAAATCGAAGCAATCATGCGGGGCGACCTAACGGGCATCCCCGAAGCTCGGCACGTAGATATCGAGGAGCGTCTGTACCCTGTCTCACCAGCCGACCTGGAACGTCAGCTCGTCCGACTCAAAGAAGAAAGAAAGGACGTCATTCAGGAAAATATCGTTGAGGTGGTTACAATGGCCCTTCGCCGGCCCTTGACACGTGACGACGCGCATCTGTTCGAGTCACCTTCGGACATCGACGATCCTGATCGCTGGCTCGACTGGTTCTCCAGTATCCTGGTAACATGCGAGGAGGCCCGGACGGCTAACCGCAACTTCGAAAACGCGCGAGTGGCGATCATTTCCGACACGTGGTGGTCACGTTTCCAGCGAAAAAGCCTGGCCTCAAACGAGCTACCCGGCTTTGGACCCATCCCTGAGACCGATTGCACGCCACCCGAGGGTGACGTCCTACCTATCGGCGGTACTGAAATTCCCCGTCTACCCGCTCGACAACTGGTCAAAGTCCACGGAGCCGTACAGTACCACTTAATCGACGACCGGGCCTCTTTCGCCCTACGATTACGGGACTTGGAACTCACACGACTTCCCTCGGCCATCTGGCGCATCCGTCGCAGGACGCTCTCATCTCGGCGCCACTACCTGGACCTCGCCCTCAGGTGCCATCACATTGAAAGCGCCCTCGCCACCCCTGACGGCCGCCCGCAAACCCCGGAGTCTCTCTCCCCGGGTGTCGTTGACTCAAACAATCCCCTCGAGCCCCTCGACGTCGAAACCACCTATCTGGGGGCCCCGACGGTCGAATTGCCGTTCCTGGGCCTAAACGATGACGAGCTCCTTTGAATGGTAGCACCATTCCCTCAACCAGACCAAAGGGTGTGCCAAGTGGATTCCAATCCGAACGCCCCGTTGGTTCAGGTCCGCATCCAAACGGCGGACACGCTCGCGTTAGTGGATACAGGAGCTTCCGTGACGGTAATTAGCGAGGCGTTCTGGAACGAGCTCGGGAGTCCTCCTCTCCAAAAACCGGCGTATGGGTTGGTCTCGGCATCCAACACGCCTATACGAACGCTGGGCCTCCGGTACTTCAGCATCACTCTAGCGGAAAAACAAACGACCTTCCCGGTATGGGTACTGGTCGACTCCATCATCCCGTGCATTCTGGGGATTAACCTGTTGCGCAAACTCAAGGCCCTGGTCAACCTCTCGACCAACTGCGTTGGTTTTGGAGATTCTCCCATAACCCTACCGCTCCACACCGACGACGCCCAGGCGACACCAAGAACGGTAGCCCATCTCAAACGTGAGGACCCGCGGGAGCCACCGGCACAGAAAGCTCACGAACCCGCGCCTTCGGCTTCCCTACACATCATGCCGACCAACTGGCCCACTGTCCACCCCACGCCCACGGTCTATGTCAAAAGCAACTCCCGCAGGCTTGTCTTATGCCACATCTCGTCAGACCTCCCGGAAGGGTGCCATATACTGGTAGAGTCCACTGCCTCGTTGTCCCCTTTACATATCGCCCGTTCGATCAACATCGTCCGGAAGGAAGGCTTCTGGGTCCAGGTGCGGAACCACTCGGACACGAAATTAGTCATTCGCCCCACAGACGCCATCGGGGTGGTTTTCCACCTCCCGGACCACTACAGGGACCACACGGACACACCCGCTTCGGACACGTCGACCACCCCGTCGCCCCGGAGCGCGACTTCTCTGCAGAGGGGAGAGAGGAAGGCACCACAGGAGGCGGAACACTCTGCGCACTAACCACAGGAGCGCAGGAAACAAGTACGAAACCAGGCAAGGAAGAGATCCAAATTGACTGGAAGGATTCCAGCTTGAGTCTCGAACAGAAAGAACTCCTCCGAAAACTTCTCCTGCGCTTCGACCTCTTCGTCTCGACATCAAAAGCCCCGGGAAGGACTGACCTGACCAAATGCCACATCAACACCGGGGATGCGAGCCCGATCAAACAAGCGACATTCCGAGTGACCCAACGGGAGGGAGAAGTGAAGCTGTAGCCATCAATGGTATGTGCGTTAGAATGCTTAGCAGCACTGTGAATGCTCCAGCTTACAGTTCACAGGCTATCACTAGAATAGGCAGTTTGATTGGCTAATCGCCATCATTGCATTGCGTCATAGACAAGCCGATCAATCTAACGATTGTCGCACATACGTTCCTTGAAGAATGCTCGAGGAACGCTCTTTGTGATCAGGTACATTAACCCATTGTAAGCTGCGGGGCGGATGACCCTCGGACTTCCTGCTATTACAATAACAGGTAGGTCAGAAAGA